GCATATAGATGTCGCCACCACAGTGATCTCCACCTCTGTTGTGCCCAGCCGCTAAAATCTCCACAACACCCAATAGTTGACTGGTAGAGAATGCCTACGGCATTAAGTCCGCCATTGTACAGTATGTGCATGAAAAATAAAATAAATAAATACGCATGGTTCTGTCCACAGAACACAGAAAGAGGTTAGAAGGGTCTTCAGAGACCTTTTGTACGGGAACCGATGTCGCCGGCTCGCCCGCACTACACTTACACCTAATAGATATTAGCCAATCAAACACCGTGACATCAAACAATAGAACCAATCGGCGCTCACACCCCATCGCAACAAAGCAATCGTTGCCAAGGTTTGGTCAAGTTATGAGCATTTGCTCACAACTAACTGTGGCGCGCCTGCCCCGCCCACAAGGCCCTTCTAACATCTTTCTGTGTTCTGTGGTTCTGTCCCACTGTGCGCCGCGTCGCGTGGACTGCGTGCAGTCTCCTTAGTTTAGGGTGGTCGGTGTTGGGTGCGAGCGGTGTTTTGTAACAAAATCGTATAATGGAGCCGAGACCTTTATGTTAATATCTTTCACCGAATAGAGATACACGGTACAACCGTTTTATCAAATAAAAACCAATGCGTGAATGTCTTTTACAAAGGATTGCTTGGTTAGTTTTTCTAAATATACTATACGATATTTTATCGATTCACGTTCGTGTCGCCCTACACGTATTGAATTGAATGTGTTCAACTGAAAAGCATTTATGTACAACGTTGTGCAAGCTATTGTTAGCATACTTTCTCTTTGTCGGCGGATTTTCATATGAAATAAAAAAGTATCTTTGGACAAAATTTTAATAATAGAGACATAGATTTCTAATATCATGTCTTCCAAAATTTTGGTTAATTTCTCGTTAAATCGAGAAATGCCTGCAGTTAGCAACTGCGACGGCCCGTTTCGATTCCCAGCCGAGGAATGAGATTTTGTTCATCGTTTTATAAGCTGGAGCAACATGAACTTCGAATAATCCTCCTCAAATTTTCAGTTAAATGCCTGCGATTAAAAAAAAATAAGGCGATATAAAACACTGACGACCTCCGTGGCCGAGTGGTTTATACGCCGGGTTTCATGGTGTCGCCAACTCGATAGGGTCCGTGTTCGAATCCCGGTGGTGGCAGTTGTTTGTGTGATGAATGCGAGCAATTGTACTCCAGTCATGGATGTTCAGTATGTATTACTATATAAATATACGCTACCTTAGTATCCTATAACACAAGCCTTACAGTGCTTACTTAGGGCTAGGCTAATAGGTGTGTTTAAAAAAATATATACTTTAAAAGTTTCACTTGTATCGTAGTTTCATAAAACCACACCAATTTTTATTTGTCGTGTCTCGTGTCGTAATAAAAGCAGGCTCCATTTAGTACGGACACATTAAATAACATAATAACTGTAGCCTTAGTTACAGAGTTCCGCTAACACGGAACCTTTAAAAGCAGACCTACAAAACTTTTTAATAGGAAACGAAAAAGGAAAGTTGCCGTACATGACAATAAGTGCTAAAGTATAAGAATTATTATTATCACACAAATATGTAACTCGTAGGTAATGGGGTGGGAACTAATAAAGCCAAGCGGCATAATCCTATACCTACCGTCCATAAGTATCGCCGCACACGGGCCACATGCCACAGCCACAAACGCCGCCACGAGAAGCTAGAAGCTGCTTCTAAAGTGGCTGAAGCGCGCGACAGCGGCCGACTAAGGTAAGGGAAAAAGGGATGGGGAATCACGTGAGTGACGTGTGGCGGCGTTTTGTATCGCTGCATTAAGTGGCTGGTGCGGGCCAAAACAAGCGAGCAACGACGATTTGTAGCGTGTGGCGGCCTCCGGCGTACCGTGTGTGGCGAGTCCATATAAAATGTACGAAAACTACAAGAAATATGCCGGTGGTGGCGTTTTGTGGTTGTGGTCGGTGGCCCGTGTGCGGTGACACTAAGGCTCTGCTGCAATCTTATTTATTTACGCTTTCCTTCAACCGAAGCGAAGCAAACCGGTTTGTAAATGCATAAAAGAAGTCAAACATAGTGTACAAATAGTAATTTAAAGTTTTTATTGACTTAGCAAGCAGACGTCTTGAGCAAGTTAGAAATACCTAATTAAAACTCGTTATGTATATGTTCGAATATAAAATAGAATCATCTTATAGGTACTTGAGGAGCTCGATGGCGCAAGTGGCAGTGATCGGTCATTGGATGGGTGACCAAAAATTTACTATCTCGAACTCCTCCGTGTATCGGAAGGCACGTTAAGCCGTTGGTCCCGGCTGCATCTGCAGTCGTTAGTACGCACCAATCCGCACTATGCCCGCGGGGTGGGTCATGGCCCAAAATCCCTATTCCATCCATAGAGAAGGCCCGTACTCCAGCAGTGGGGACGTTAATAGGTTGATGATGAGGTACTTTCATTTTGTGGTTGCTTCAAAATATTTTTTTAAAGAAAATGTTACGTTCGCCCGGATAGCGGAAGATGCTGGTTCGAATATCGTCAGAAACATGCACTGAGTGTTTTTTTTTTAATCTTTAGATTTAAACAACTGGCAGTTCATCGCTTAAAAATAAGAGAATTATAATTTTTTACATTAATTATAGCTTTAAACGGGATTGTTACCATATACCTTGTTTTTCATGATTCTCCGATATTTCGGCACTGTTGCAAGCGCCATGATCACGGAGTAACTAAAGTAATTGCGGGTAGATGTTATTGGCAGACATATTGGTCTACCCTCTTACGTCGCAATTACTTCAGTTACTCCGTGATCATGGCGCTTGCAACAGTGCCGAAATATCGGAGACTCATAAAAGACAAGGTACATGGTAACAATCCCGTTAATAGCTATAATGTTAGTGACCATGAAAGTTTAAAACAATATATTTTTACATTAAGCTTGATCTTGGATACCAAAATAGAAGTAACACCGTTACTATCAGACTTAGGTACAGATATTAGTTAGTATCAGATCATATGTTTTTTTTTTCAAATCCAGCTGTTGGTTGGGGCACTATTTATTTTTCTCTAATTATTAAAATATGGATATCAAATTAAAGGTCTTCATGAGCGCATTCCAAAACTACAATATAATTTATCGGAATTTGAATAAGTGTTTTTCTTTGCCGAAATATTTATTCAATATTATTTATTATGTCATACTCCGCAAATAATCATCTTAAGATATTATTATAGTATTAATTTCTATTCGTCCTCATTGTCCTGCCTTAGCAACAAGTAACAATCGAAATTCGAGATGTCCATCCATCCGTCCGTCAGTCAGGTCTTGTCGCGTCGCGTCGTCACAATAGAACCCTACTGATCCCAATGAAAACATTATCATTTACGAACAAAAAAAAGATTAACATAGATATTTACGATGTCTTCTCTGTGTGTCTGTAATGTGATGAATAATTACACTCGTATTAATTATTCATTAACTTACATAATAGAATTTAGATAATCATCTTTTTCGGTTTATCTATTGTTGTTAGGAGGAATATTTAAATTCTCCTACATTATAATTAAGCTTTCACCGTTCAAAATTTAAAAGGGAACTGTCAGGTTTTATAAAGTTTCATTTGAGATAAAAGGGCGGCTTTAAAATTAACATCTGGATTTTCTACTATCAATCATCCGAAATAACTGTAAACCAGCATTTATCTTTGGATTTGTAGCTGAAACCCTTTTCATAGGAATTTATTAGAAGATCCAATTATCTCGTAAATCAATAATGATGAATTAGGACTATATTTGTTTAATTTTAAGAGAAATCGTAGTTAAGATCAAATTGTGGAGGAGTAATCTCTGTGCCTTCCAGGAGACTTTAGTAAATAATATTTTACCTGTGCAATTGTCGTTCTGCCAATTATTTCGGCTATTTCAAGTCTATTTTTTTTCTTTTTTCGCTAAGAATTCTAAGTTTAAATTATTATTATTTTTAAAATATTCAAATCTTATTTGATAATTAGTCATTTGTTTAACAGTTAGCGTTCTATTTATAGCGCACTTGTATGTTTTATGTCATCCTGGATACGTTAAAAACTCGAAAAATTATGGTATATGAGTACCATCGTGACAGCGAAGCCGCAGAAGCGACTCGCAACATCAACGACGTATACGGAGCGAACACTGCTAACGACCGCACCACCCGTTTTCGTTTCCGTTTCCGTTCTGAAAATTTCGACCAATGAAATGAACCCCGTGGTCGACCGATAACTTAAGTCGACAATGACGAATTAAATGCGATTGTGAAGCCTGATGATTCTCAACCGAACCGGTATCATTCCTGACAGCTTCTTAGCAAACGGGATAAGCATTACTGCTGATGTGTACTGTGAAGAACTGAACCAACTTTGGTCTATTGTTCGGTTCCGCTACACCTGCACGGCAACGTGTGACCTCATACTGCACAGCAGACGGTCTCCAAGTTACAAGAGCTGGAGTTGGAAGTTCCCCGTCATCCACCTTCTCACCAGACATTACCTCTACAGAATTCTACTTTTTTAAGAATTTGGAAAACTTCTTAGCGGGGGGCATAAATTCAATAATCGCAGGCAGTTCAAGACCCCATTGGTAATAATATTTTTTAACCGACTTCCAAAAAGAGATAGTTCTCAATTCTTTTTTTTTTGTTGGTCTCGCATATCTTCGGGATTTCATTGCTCGATTTTGACGTTTCGGATCCTGTTCAGAGTCCGTGGTTACAGAACTGAGATGTTGGGTTACCATTATACCTATATATATTTTCATATGGTCATCAACAAAATTAATTTTGTTCTGTGTAATTTTTACTTAAAAAGGTCAAGTGGACCCGACATACGTTGTCCTGGCTGAATAATACTTAAAATTATTCTAGAATAAGACTGCAGCGACACCTTACTGGTTCCAGTTGTAAACCTAAACCATCCAGGGATACTTGAAGATGCTCGTTTCAAAGAGTTCTACTAACCAGTTTTGCCTTGTTTCAGGTGCCAATCGAAGCTGCACATCTGTACGACGCTGTCACCCTGTGGGCGCGGGCTGCAACCGCTGCCATGAGGTCTGGTCTGCAGCCCACCGACGGAGCGTCTCTCATGAAGCTCCTCAAGCCCACCACCTACCGATCCGTGCAGGGATTCGATGTGAGTCACTTACAGCTATGTTCAGTAAATCAATGAAGACTGGTTTGCAGCCGAATACCTACCGATCCATGCAGGGATTCAATGTGAGTCACTCACAGCCATGTTTAGGTCTATGAGGTCTGTTCTGCAGCCCAGCAACTGCCAATCCGTGCAGAGTTCGATGTGAGCCACCTATAGCCATGTTCAATAAGTCAATGAGGTCTGGTCTGCAGCCCACCACCTACCGATCCGTGCAGCGGTTCTATGTGAGTCACTTACAGCCATGTTTAGTAATTCAATGAAGTCTAGTTTACACCTCACCACCTATCGATCTATGCAGGGGTTCGCTTTGAGTCGATTACAGCCATGTTCAGTAAGTCAATGAGGCCTGGTTTGCAGCCCAACACCACCCGATCCGTGCAGGGATTCGATGTTAGTCGTAAGTGACATGTTCAGTGAGTTAATGAGGTCTGCAGTCAACCGCCTGCCAATGTTCAGTTAGTCAATGAGGCCTGGTTTGCAGCCCAACACCTACAGATCCGTGCAGGGGTGCGATATGAATCACTTACAGCCATGTTTAGTAAGTCTATGAGGTCTTTTCTGCAGCCCAGCAACTGCCAATTCGTGCAGAGATTCGGTATGAGTCACTTACAGCCATGTTCAGTGAGTCAATGAGGTCTTGTCTGCAGTCCACCTGCCGATCCGTGCTGGAGTTCAATATGAGTCACTTACAGCCATGTTCAGTTAGTCAATGAGGCCTGTTCTGCAGCCCAGCAACTGCCAATTTCTGCAGGGATTCGATGTGAGTCACTTACAGCCATGTTCAGTGAGTCGATGAGGTCTGGTCTGCAGGCCACCGCCTGCCGATCCCTGCAGGGCTTCAATGTGAGTCACTTACAGCCATGTTCAGTGAGTCAATGAGGTCTGTTCTGCAGGCCAACGCCTGCCCATCCCTGCAGGGCTTCAATGTGGGTCACTTACAGCCATGTTCAGTGAGTCAATGAGGTCTGGTCTGCAGGCCACCGCCTGCCGATCCGTGCAGGAGTTCGATGTGATTCACTTACAGCCATGTTCAGTGAATCACTGAGGTCTTGTCTGCAGTTCACCGCCTGCCAGTCCCTGCAGGGCTTCAATGTGAGTCACTTACAGCCATGTTCAGTGAGTCGATGAGGTCTGGTCTGCAGGCCACTGCCTGCCGATCCCTGCAGGGCTTCAATGTGAGTCACTTACAGCCATGTTCAGTGAGTCAATGAGGTCTGGTCTGCAGCCTGCCGCCTACCGATCCATGCAGGGGTTCTATGTGAGTCACTCACAGCCATGTTCAGTACCACTCGTGTGTGATAATTCCAGACTGTGTAAAGCCAGCCTTATAAAGTGATCACCGTTAACCTCTGGTTATGAGCACTGTGCCTGAAATGCAAGATACCACTACTCCAATTATACCTAAAACGCTTATGACTAAGAAGCTCATTGCCTACAGTGTATCGTGACTAAAATGTTTGTCTTTCTTAGGAAACGGAAATGTCTTACTCCGAGGCTTTACGTAACTTGAGATAAAATTAGACAGCGTCTTTGTCACCGAAGAGTTTGTAGTACAAGTTCTCGAGAAATTGTTAGCGAGGCAGAGGCATAATTTTAATATACAAAGTAAGCAGTTCTTGTACTTATGTATATTTATCTAGCTAGACCAAGTAGAAAATGTAAAATATATTCGCTTTCCGCCTCTATCTGTATATCTGCTAACTTCCCTACACCCTTAACGGATTTAGATTCGTTGTTAATTATCAGTTCAGCAGTGCTATTTCTAGAATAGAATAGAAAGCTATATTATCATGCTGAGTACAATGGTGTTACAAGTAATGTCTTAGTTCTAAACAGCTCGCAGTTTCGGACGTACAATATTCACTATCGGTGGTAAATGCTGTTAAAAATTTCGAAAATACTCTTTTAAATTATAAAAACATTGATCTATTTATTATATTTAATGTCATTGGACAAATTTTTAAATATTTTAATTCTACTTATACTTCTACTTATACAGGGTGTTACAAAAATAGAAATAAAGCTTGAAGGGCGTTGAAATACATCATATAAGGAGTCTTCTCTAATTTTCTTAAAACATTTGCATGAAGTTTTAACTTTTTATAAAAACAGTTATTTTTAATGATTAATAAAAATATCGATCATTTTAAGACACGTCACTAGTTCGAGGATCATTAGAGAAGACTCCATATATGATATACTTCAACGCCCTTCAAGCTTTTTTTGTATTTTTGAAGTTATACTTCTTTAGGCGCGTTATGAAAAAATGATGAGAGTGAAATTTTAAGATGCGCGCGCATCACTGTAACACAAAATTTTTGTGCTTACCGCACATTAAGAAAATCTACCAACAAAATAGAAATAGAATCTCTATTTAGTGGGTGCTAACGACTGCATTGTGAAGGCCTATCAAAAGTATTTATTAATCTGGAACAACGGAACCAAAGCGCGATTCAGGAGACTACAGCGCCATCTCTTGACCATTGGTGTAGTAGAACCAAAAACCACATCTTTATTTTTTGTAATAAAGTAACAGTTATAGGTATTCATATTTATAATATTTATCCACATGTTTCTAGTTTGTATATTCGGAATACGTCTTTGAGTTTCATACAAGTGCAAATCACATATATTCTAATAAATTATATTCAGTAGCGATTTTAATTGAATATTTTGATTATTTATTTATTTTTTCAAATTAAAACTGAACTTTATTGACTACGTCCTTTTCCAGACTTTTTATTAATTTATTGTAATTAATTATTTGCATGCAATTAAAAACTAGTTTTAAACGATGCCAAAGAAGGATAACTTCTCACGCGCCTACATAAGTACACGCACCCATTTTTGTAACACCCTGTATAAGAGCTGTTGTCAGATATATAGCTAGTCGATAATGCAGTATTCATGTAATTTTTATATTGGGCTCGTATATTAGCTTCAGTCAGTTGTTTTTACAAAAGTATTCGTCATGATTTTTTTACAAACACACATATTTCAAATATATATATACAAGTGAAGGTTAGGTTTCTATATTTTATAAATACTGGTCTTACAGATTCATGTGGGTCAATTTTATTTATAATTTTAAAATAAATGTAGAACGAGCATTTACCGAATTACCCAAAAATATGATTCCGTATGTCAAATGGGGGTAAACATAGCCATAATATGCATTCCGAGCAACATCAATGGAAGTTATATTAGTCAATACTGATAAATGATAACATTTACTTGATAATCTATTATTTATTTTATTAATATGTGATTTCCAATTGAGATGGGGGTCAATATTAATGCCTAGAAAATTTGTCTCATTTGCTTGCTCGATTTCTTGCTTTCGATGCTTTTCTGTAATAACAAATCGCTTTTCACCGCGGATTCCGCTGCGGTGTGTTTCAATATTTATTTGAAAATTATATTCTAATTTCAAATCACACCTTGGGTTCTGTGGTGTAAGGTAAGTTGGTTTTTACAGAAGAGCACACCAGAGGAGTAATTTGATATTTTGACATACATGTATTATAAACAAACCTTACGTGAAACTCTTTTTATATCAATTATTGTAGTGATAGAGTCTGTGCTGAAAGAAAATGAGGTATATAGATTGGAGGGCGCTGTAGTGCTTTTCTACCGTATTTGTAAGGTTTTACCCCTTTTAGACATAATTAAATACAAAAGCCGCAAGAAATCACAACAACAAACAAATCCGTATTAATACAAAACTTTGACGTTTTACAGATTGTTGGGTTTCATTGCCAAATAAAAATCTTAATGTTAGTTCCGTTTTTCGCCACGCCCATTCACTTTCCGCACAGACTCCATTAAGAACCCAACTAACGTACTTCCATATTCTAACCTATAAAAATTGAGAAACCATTTTAATATAGTTACACAATATATGTGGAAAGGTTTGTTAATTAACTAACTTTGGTAATATGACGAGAACTGGAAAGGAACTTTTGGTTCAAGGCTTCTCTTGGTATACAATTGAAGAGGTATAAATTAATTTCTGAACAGAGTCAAACACTGCTTTTTACATACATACATATAATAGGTAGAATCGTGTTTATTTTCAGTTTATGAAATAGTTCGTTTCATTTCTTTTGAGAGCAAAAGCAATCAAAGCGGTGGGTTTAGCCTGACCGTAGACTGGAATTCGTAGCCTTATCAATTGAGAGAGACAAGTGGTAAACAAAAGTCAAGAGTAAAAAAATCGTAATTCAAATTGGGGGCACAGTAGTTGTGTTGTGCATCAAATTTGAATAAAGACATTTTTCACCAGTGTTTCGCCGCAACTAAAAAAATTTCCTTAACTGGTGGTAGGGAAAAAAATATGGACGATTCAAAAGAGTTGTCTTTTGAACAACTGGCGAAAAAAACTTCACAGCGTTTAAAAAATATGTAACAATTTTTACAAAATATTATATTGTTACGGTGCCAATACAAAATCATATCATCTTCATCATAAATATAGAAAAATCTGCGGAACGTTTGGGTTTAAACCCAAGCATTTTTGTCTGAAATATAATTAGACACCTTATAACAGGCTTTATTAATAAGAACTCTTTTAATAGTAGGAGAGCAAATCGCGATATCGTTATATCATTTTAAAGTTAGCGTTATAACTGCGTTGAAGAGCGCGATGGCGCAAGTGGTTAGCGCGTTCGGCTGCGATCTTTGAATTGAAGCAACTTTCGCAGTGGTCGGTCATTGGATGGGTGACCAAAAATCTTCTATCTCGAGTTCCTCCGTGTTTCGGTTCTTTTCACTTCTGCCGGCACTCCCGGAGTGCAACCCGTCGTTTTTTTTTATATTCGCTCTCAAATCATTTAGGACTCACGATAAGGTGCCGGTGGCTTTAGTAAGTTATTGGTTATACTGTTATAACACTATTATTGTAATAGAACTTAATTGAATAAATTATCGGTTATGTCAAGCGGATGTTCCAGTCAATGAACTTAATTGTAGTGCTGCAA